TAACCCACCCCCAACTCCACCATAAGTGACATTTTCAACACGAAACGAATTTGAATCTTCTAAGAAAAGCATCTGGTGCATCATGCGAGATACGAGGGGAACGATGGGGCTGTAAGGCGGAGGAAGCGGACGGAGATAAACGATCGCCCAGAGCGAACCAGGGTCCAAACCAGCCTGAGACAAGCTGCGCGGGAGTGTGACAGGAGGGGCTGGCTCGGGGTGATGAGATAGCGTCCCTGTGTGATGAAGGGCAGAGGGCTAAGGCCCTCTTTGAAGGTGTACACCTGAAATCGAATCACCCTACTAACAAAGCAAGCTGCTCCTTCCCAGCCCTGGGGAGAAGACGCTGTGGCTGGTTCAGGGACGGACCTGCTCCTCGGCCCTGAGTTTGTGCCCTGTGCGCACTCTCTGTGATACTCAAGAGACTCAGCCATCACCTCACCCCGTCTGTGACCATCGGCAGCGTGCACACGGACAACTGGGCTTTGCTGGAACCACCAGACAGAAGCCATTCAAGCGTCCCTTCTCTGAGAGGAACTTTCATTTTCTTTACAAAAACAACAAAAAGCAGTACTCTTACACCAAAGCTGCAATGTCCCTCACGATGTGCATTTAAAAAACCACTCATTCTCCAAGCGAGAAAAGGACATTCATGTTCCATTGCTCCCGTGTGTAGAAATTTACAAGTCTACCAAGTAACAACGGACTTGGCCATATCCAACTAGAAAAGGTGAGATTCATTTAAAAAATAGCTCACAGCCAGGATATTAAAGAAAATTGGATTTTTAAAGCGTGAAACGTTTTTCTCCTACCGTGGAGATTTCCTTTTTTTAAAAAATAGGATTGCATTCTACATTTGATTTTAACATTTTGGGAAATTATAAGTATTATTAGTAACTTGACCCCCCATTATAAATTTAGGCATTTTGGAAATAATTTTGTCCTCAGAGAATGTGTCTGAGTAATTTCCCAGAGTTTTAGAGAAGTAAAAGAGGCATCTTGGACGTTTTACAAAAACCCCAGCTCTCAGCCTAGGGCACAAACCTTTTAGAACAACTCACCTCTACCTCACAGGTGTACTCTGACCCGTCCAGAAGTGTCGCTTTGCACTGCATGCTTTTGGGCTTTTTCACAATCTTTAATGGAGAACGAGAGAGTTTGCTGCTGGATGATTTCTGAGAAAGTTTATCGTCTTCCAATTGCTGATATTCGAGCTGTTTTGCAGCTTCAGTAGCAAAATCCTGTTCCTTGTCAGTGACCTGGGAAGAGCAAACAAGGAACAGTTTTCATTGCAAGACAGAAAATAAACGCTGCATTGCTTGGGCAACCGTGGAACATGTTCGAAAGAGGCTTTCGTATTTCCTAGAGGATAACTGAATTAGGGCATTAAGAATGGAAATGCATATGTACATATCTATAATGCTAGTAGTTTCAAATAAATGTACTAATTTAAATGCACATTTAAATGTACCAATAACCAAACCAAAAACCAAACCCACCACCACTGAGTCGACGCCAACTTGTAGCAACCCACAGAACAGAGCAGAGCCCTCGCAGCGCAGTGGTTAAGAGGTCGGCTGCTCACCAAAAGGTCAGCAGTTTGAATCCACCAGCCGCTCCTTGGAAACCCTCTGGGGCAGTTCTACTCTGTCCTAAAGGGTCGCTATGAGTCAGAATCGACTTGATGGCAGCGGGTTTGGTTTTTTTTTTTTTAACAGAACAGAGTAGAATTGTCCCACAGAGGTTCCAAGCAGTGGCTGCTGTTTTAATTTGACTGAAGAATTTATAAGGGACTGCACTGGCAAACACCATCAAGATTTCA